AGCCCGGGACTGGCAGCAGGCTCGGACGTCAACCCTGGGCTCCAGGTGGTGGTCTTGGGCAGGAGGGGGGCTGGGTGGGGCACAAGAGTGCAAAAACTGTGGAGCTGTGTGGCTGATCCCCCTCCCAAGCCTGCTGCCAGCTTGGGGTTGCTCCACCCCGGCTCAAAATGCTATGGTCCCGGTTACTGTCCACGTGTTTCTTCCCAGCAAACGACTCCGCCGTAAGATAGTACTGTCCCTGACAGTAACATAGTCCTTAACAGGACTATCTTATGATGGAGGCAATTCATTTACTGCACCTTAATGCCAGCACATATGTAGATGGTGATGCTCCACTGCAGAGCTAATTAGTCAAGTCCACAGGAAAGCACATGTGTAGATGCACCCAATGTGATATAGGTTAGTCACTTATTCAAGTTTTCCTGCTTGCTCAATGGAAAGAGGATACTAAATTCTCTTTGTAAAGTGCATTACAGAAACTGCATATCTAAAAGAAGAAAAAAAATAGGGGAATGTGGCATGGAATATTTGGGAATTCAGGGAACTTTGATAACCAGAGTAAATTTAAACTACCTAAATAATTGAGCAACAGGATTCTACTAGTAACAGCTAAATGTATTGAAAGACGTTTTGCTCAAACATTGGAGATTCTTTAAGTTTTCTTTAAAGAGGAAGAGTATATAACATCATTTGTAGTTTTATAAACAAAAACAGGAGAGTATAACTTTACTTACAGATACCTAATTACACGAAAGGATAAATATATGCTAACTTCTATTCATTAACTTTAATCAACAGAATTCTTGGCTGGTTCAGTTAAGGCGGATTTAATCAAGCAAGGTTGGCTTGAAAGTGAAATTACTGTCTTTAAACTGCTGAACAATTAATTTAGAGTTTTACCCTGCAACAGGTTTCTGATGAAACACTGAATTAATAGACAGCAAATAGAGCATTTACTGTTAAAATCAAGAATTTAAGTCTACCGTAGGCAATTTTAAATACAATTAGGAGCTCCAGGTCTTTGGGAGTAAAAGGCAATTCTCTGTGGAAGCTTAAGTAATAGTAATTCAATATAGCCAAGTGAGTGGTGGAGGCTATTTGAGAAGTTCTGCATTTTATATTAGCAAAGTAAACGTCAAAACCCGTACGTTACAATTATACAGCATGCTAAGGATTCCAAAACACATTCTCCAAATATACCAGTAAGTTACGCAGGACTTCCCTTCATTTATATCTCTGGGCCTATGATATTCTAACACTGGTGAAATTTATGACAGTTTTGTGAACTTATCTAAATTAGTGTAAAGTACACTGGGATTTGGAGCAGACAGACAAGCAGTTATCACAGTAGATGCTGCAGTCGGCACTCTTACAGGGACTTGCCACCAGAGGAACAGGTATACTATATACACTGGTTATTTACATTGAACAAATGGCTTCCCCAGGGTGGCTGCAAATGCACAAAACCTACACTGGTTTAACTTATATCGGTGTACTTTACACTTGTTCTTGCCCAGGATACCCCAGATTCTAGAACATTACATCAGTGCAGTGCTAAATATCCTGTGTCCACTTTCCCCACTGCCCCAACAGCAGTGGCTAGGGAGGTTGTCACATGTCTAGGCCCTAATTATCTTACCAATAAATGCCTGAAAAAATTCTGTACTTTTCAAGACCTGTGCATGTCTGGATAAATATGTAACTTCAAGTTATTTACATGCTGACCACATTTATACACAATCACAAGAACCTTCATTTGGTGGCGGGGGGAGAGGTATCTGGAGCCTTTTCAGTTACAAGAGAATGTGCAGGGCCTTTATGCTCTTACCCAATCCCAAATGAAGGACTTTTATATTAAGTTTTCAAAGATCCAGGTTCTGGCAAAATAAAAGCAAAATGGTCTTCAGCTCTTTTCAAAAGTTCTGCTCTGCCTGGTAGTAGTCAGTAACAGCAGAAACACATACAAATTAAACAGCTGAAAAACTACCCCATGTTCTTGCAAAAGGATGGTTTTGGCAAATGCTGCTATCATCAAGCAGGAGGAAAATTTCCTTGACCACAGCCTTTCAAGGTGAGCCAATTAAACTAAGTGTTTAATGAATGAACAGTTTATACTACAGCATAGTAGTATAAGCCCAGTGGAAAAATTCTACTCCTAAAACAGTTTCCACTTTGAGAAGTTTCACTGTTTTGGAACAGAGGTAAGCTTAAATCTTGCAAACAGTTGCTGATTGTTGATTCAAGAAAGCAATTTTTGTAGGCAAACGAATGACCTTCGTTGGACATGATAGCTTAATTAAGACACAACACAATGATTTGTTGGACAGCTGTGAACTAAGATATTTAGATTTTTGTCATCAATTTAGTCAAAAAGTGTAAGAAAAACCTAAAAACCCCCTCTAAAACTTGTGTTTCTTCTGGAAAGAAGCTGTTGCTGCTCACTGGAGACAGGATACTAATTGAATCTGATTAATCACTGGAGTCTTACTATCCTGTCCTTGATGGAAATAGTCCAGGAAACAGTGACAGTCTCTGCAAGATTACAATACTACTGGAACTAAAGCATCTGAGTAATGAATAAGAACAGCAATCAGCCTCGATTTTCATCCACCAGAGAAAAATACTGCAGTTCAACTAGTGACCGTGCAAAATTCAAGTCCATGCAACATTGTGACAATATTACACATCCATGGTTACATCACTCTCTTACTAATCTTGCTATCCAATAAACAGGAGGGGTATTTGATCAGAATATAAATTTTGGTTTTGCTGGGAAACAATCTATGATCCTTCTAAAAAGCTTATATTAACTCCCAATTAGCCAGGTGAAATGACATGCGCCTGTGGACATTTGTAACAATGTCTGCTAGCGGGAAAACACCAGCCCTGCAGCCTCAATTGGTGATTTTGAAAAACTATGGAATGCAATCTCATCATTATACTGAAAAATATCAGCTCTGTTTTGGTTTTTTTCCTCCCACTGAATTCAGGTATTGCTGGTCCTTTGCTCTCTGTAGATCCAGAAAGATGTATGCATATGGATGAAAGCTAGCTGAATATGGAAAAATGGAAGCTGATGATTGTCATGTGTCTCTTGATTATCAAGGCACTGTGCTCTCCAGTCTTTAGTCTCATTCAGTTCCCCTGTCAGAAATGCCTAGTCTTATATTCAGATGGCCAAGAAACAGTAACCCTTGCCAAGACTATCCAAGCCATTTATCATTAAATTAGGCTACTGAAATGCGCTCTATCTGGGATTAGCCTTGAAGGCCACAAGAAAATGTCAACTGGTACATAATATAGCAGCCAACCTTTTAGACGAAGTAGGTGGCTCCTAGAACATTACATCATCATGTTTTGTGGATTGCCCGTTTGTTTTCAGAAACTGTTTAATGTGCTGAGATTCATGAAAAGCCATAGAAACATCTAGCAAACAACTTAATAATGAATGAAATATAGTGTCATTGGTAGTCCAGAAGTTAGCCCACTTTTATGGAATAATACCAAGAATTTCTTTAGCCTGGTTCTTCCTGACAGGGTGCTGGTAACTGGTTGAAACTGGCTTCCATAGATGATTTCTCTCTGTCCGCTGAACTCCTTAGTTACTCTGAGTTTGAGGTCTCTCTTTACAGGGGTTTACTGAGTGATATGAGACTATGTACTTCTGGCATGTATTTATGCAAATAGTGTCCAGACATTACTGTAATGGCTGCACAATATATAAGTAGTGAACTTTGTATAAATTAACTGAAGTGAGTATAAATGCATACACACATAAAGATGCATGTATGTATAAATACTATAGGACTATGATGAAAATACCATGATGCAGCAGTTAGAACATGTAAATGTGCAGGTATAAACATCACAATAAAATCAGTTAATAAAATCAACGAAGGCTCTAAAAGATTAAAGGATTAAATTTCTGTTGTGACATAAGAATATGGAAATTGATTTTTGTACTGAGACTGGAATGCAACCACAGATTTAACATGAAAAGTATTTAATCCTCCTCTAGAAGAACATGAAACAGAAAACATTAAATTTTACAATCGCATATAGGGTAGTATCCTTCCTAAACTTAATGGGAAGATACATTTGTTTGTGGTTTATAGAAAAATGCTGCAGGATGTAGGAAAAATATAAAGCAAATGGTACAGTAGGATGCAATTTTTTCTTTTTTTCCAAACTGAGTTTAATTTGATATTACTTTAATGAAAAAGATCTAATAAATAACCCCACTGGCAACCCCACGATCAGGATTGAAAAGTGATACCTAGTAATGCATATTTAAGTGCCAGTTGCACCTTTTTCTTTTCCTTAGCACCACAAAGAAACCTGGTAACTAATGAGTTAATAATGAAATATAGACTCTCTGGTGCTGCCTGGTAGGACTGCTAGAAGACGCTGGCTGTTGGAATTGTACTGTATGCACAGCACAACAAATCAATACGAAACCCGACATTAGCAGCCACTGATACAGCTATAATCAAACTTATTTCTAAAACTATGAATAAAGTACATTCAGAAACTTAGATTACAAATAAAGTTTAATGATGCCTAAAAACTGCTTGCCTCCTCATCTCCAGATATTCTGATGGATTAATTATGATGAAATATCGTAAGCCTTCAGTTAATGAACTGAGTTTAAAGGAGGAAGCTTCTTTACAGCCTCACCCTAAAATTCAGACCATCTGTCTACAATGAACACTTATCTCATCCATATCTTCCCGCTTAAATAAATGTATCTCCTATGATCAACTCCAAAGATGCAGGTTTTTTTTTTCAGAGAAGAAGGTTGGGTTGTTTTGTTTTTTTTTTATAGGCATGTTTCATTACTTTGCAATCTACTGCTGCCATCTCCTGTGTTAAATGAAGCAATAAGTAACTTCACACAAGTAGGCTGTTTAGCTTCTACCATATGGAAATGGTTCCCATTGGTCAAAGAGACAGAACTCTACTTAAATATGCTTTCAAAAGTTTTTAAAAGGTACTGTTACCTCCAAGTGACTCCGTCGTTCTGCAATCACTCGGTCATCTTTGTTTCCAAAGAGTTTCTTTGGGGGGAATTCTAAGGTAGCAAGCTGGAATAGACACAAAAGATTGAATTGATACTGTGGATGACAAATTTAAATGAGAAACTTCTTTTTAAAGCATAAAGTGATTAGGGGGAGGAAAATACAAATATTCACAAGCTGCTGTACATTATTCATTTCTAGTGATATTAATACAATCTGGAGCAATACTAAGACAATAGGTGCATTATCATGACTGAATATAGTAGTTAGAATGTCACTATTCACCAACATAAAATCAAAAGCTTGCAAAGTGAACTTGCATATTACACTGGGTACAAGTAGTATATAAGTGTTCAGCTCAGGTATTTTGTATAATATTGAAGTTCAGATCTGGTCTGTTAAAATCACAGTCAGCTTTTCCTCAGCTATGTGGCCATTTGTTCAGACTTGTCTTTGATATCCATGTTGTTTCTGTCACTGGATCTGAAAGTCTTTACTGAAGTCATGCTTTGGCGTACAACTATGTTGAGGTTTGGCCAATGGAAGCCTAGTTACTAAAAGTTACCATTAGCAAAACGTAACACCAATTCAAGCATTTCACTGAGTAACTGTAATGCCTGGGATCACATATTGGTAACGTCAGAGTCTCTATCCAGAAGCCACATGTATATAGTAAAGGCCTATATAGCACACAGAAAATTAAAACTACTAAAAGAGTTGGTAGTAAAACTACTAAATATCACTATATAAATATGTCCCTTACTTATGCAACAGACACATTCCATGTAGATATTCAGAATTAAACCTCTTTAATTTCACTTCTTTCTAATCCTGTTGGACCTGCAGAAGTCAGCGCAACCAAGAGAATCAACAGGACTCTGTTCCTTCTTGTGCATCATCAAATTGAATTGTGAACAAGTGCTAGTCAAGTTAAGTTGTTAACAAGTGCTGTACCTATGCAAACCCACAGAAAACGATGAGCCTGCACTAGTGTTAATGAAAGTGTAATTTGGCTGGCTCAATAATTCTTGATAGCAATGCCAAAGAAAGCAAGTTCACTCCCAGAGTACAGGCTCAGTTTGCTGGGATGGCAGTTAAAATATTATTTTAGAACTAGGCCTATTGAACAGAGAAACTGCTGAGACACAAAAATGTAACCCTACAACCACACTGTTTTAGTCACTTATCTGGATAGAATCTCCCTTTACAAATATCTCTTGTTGCACAAATTCCTGGATGCCTGAAGATGTGAAGAGAACAAAATAAATTGTTACCTAGCATAAATATGTATTATGCTAGGTAGGGTAGGGGCTGTCAAAAGATATGGCCATTAGCTGGATCTCACTTGTGTTTTTCAAACCGACCCCAAGAACTGCATACCATGCCTATGCCAGACCAGCCCTGTGTGCTGGCTCCAGAGCCAGTCCAGGCTGGCCCCACAGACACACTGGCGGTGTACACTGGGGCTGGCATCTGCTGCATGTGGTACTGGGGGTCAATTCAGGGCACACTGCATGTGGCACCCCACCAGACCAGCTCAGGGCTCACAGATCAGGCCCATGCACAGGATCCAGCGTGTGGGGTGGTCCAGCATGGGCACGTCATGCTGCAGTGTGCCCTCCATGTGGCTCCATGCATGAGCCCCAGAGGAGGGCTGATGCACAATGCATACACCTAGTTTCAGACATGCACTGAATGAGGTGTCATGCTGGACTGCCCCTGCATGCTGGCTCCAGTGTGCAAAGTTGGTCTGTGTCCCAGATCTGGCCTGCAGACCAGCCTTGTATTCATCATCCAGCCCCATCTGATATCCTGTGGTAGGGCATAAGGAATTTACAATTCAACATAACAGAAGCATCCTATATATTGAATTATGAGTTTCATTTTTAGCTTTGAATGTCAACCTTCTTCTGTAGTATTCTTTAGCACCAGTATTGAACCCTATTCACTTGTTAAATCTTAACATGGGTATCTTAGAGATACATTCAAAAGAGTGATATCAAGTGGGCAAGCAGGAGGATCAGTTTCTCTCCAGAACATCAGTTTTCCCTCCGAGATTTCCCTGAGTTTCCCACACCATTTTCTGCCTGTTTTCTCATGCTAACAGGATAAACAGAACACTGCCAAACAACACAGCATATATCTAACAATGTCCTTTGGATATACTGTATCACTCATTTTTTCTTCTTCATTCACGCAAAAATATTGATGCTAATAGTCACTTTCCTTCAAGACCTTTAAAGCAGCTTTATTACGTAGCCTTGTATTATGCAACCACTATATACAATGGCCAGGAAAACACACACCCATTTTTCTGGAGAGGATGTGTGTACACATGTGTATGTGTGTGCACATTCTTAGTATTTCACTATGTTTCAGAATTGTTCCTTTTTAAAAGGTAAAGGATAGGATTCCTGTTTTTTGAGCACTATCCTGTACACACACACTATATGTGTACACACACATATATGTATTCAGTTTTCCATGTGTGTGTGTATATTAGTACTGTTGCAGCTTATAACATTTTTATATTACTGACAATCGTCCCATTACAGCTGCCAGTAAATCATGAAAACCTTTGTATAAAAGGGAAAATTCTTTTGCCTTTTCTGGGGAAAAATCCTTCGTGTATCTCCTATATTTAATGGCACCCTCTTACAAACATCAAACGTCTGAGTGGTTCTCAACGTTTTTAGATTCACTGCATGCCAGCTCTTACTTTTCACTTGTTTTTTGACTACAGAAAAATAATAGAGCAATTCTTCTGCTGCACAGAACTCAGAGATGACAACAGGTCTGAAAGTTTTTAACGCTATGAATTCCTATTTGAAATCTCTGGGTTTATCTTGTGAATCACGTTTGCACACCTTAGCAGTGTTAACACTGTGTGACACCCCTCCTTGAAAGGATCTCAAGGCACCCCAAGGTGTCATGGCACCTGGGTTATGAATTATTAATTTATCAGTTCCCATCCTATAATAATTGGGACTTGAACCTTAAAAGCCCTGCAACATGAAAATAACACTCCAATAATAAAATTTTGCCACTTTTTTAAAAGCAACTTCTATTTTGATGCAACTTTTGATATGTCCACAAGGTTCTGAATACATTTAAAAAAATGAATTAAATAGCTGGACAGTTCACCTGAAATGCCTCAGAAACTAAAAAGCTGTAAAATGTCATTGGTATTTGAGCCTCCTATTAGTAGCAAATATTTTAATAATCAGTGAATGGCAAAGTTGTAATCTATGAAGACTTTAAGAAACTGTAAAATAACTTCAAATTGCATGACATTTACCAGAGATTAACATGCTCAACATGTATATGCACTTCCACCGAATTCATTTGTTCACACACCCAAATGCACAAGATGTCTGTAGGTGCTAGATTTTGCATACAAATCTCTGCTTCAGCAGAAACAAGTGTAAAATAATTACATAAGCATCCAGATACAAAGAGACTCCAGCTGTAAAAACGATCCCTTTAAAATTAAACTTACTTTTCAGGTAGCCTCTTATCCAACTGAGGGCACCTATACATGAACTGTGAGGCTGCTCCGACGCGCTGTAATTATAATTGTTCAAGTCTACTGGAGCGTGGTAATTACTGTGCTCCAGTGTCTTATCAGTGTCCCCGCACTTCAAAATGGCAGCAGAGGCACTTTCTCTAAAGCTTGTTCAACAAGCTTCAGATAAAGTACCCCCGCTGCCATTTTGAAGCATGGGGATGCTGATACATGAGATGCTCCAGGCACTTTAATTAGAGTGTCTCTTGGAGCTGCTGTAATTGAAGTGCCACCCCCCACACACTCCCAGAGCACGTGTAGAAATGCCTTATGAATGCCTAAAAGGAGCCGCACCTTGAAAAAACAGGAGCTTTTCTCACCAAAAATGTTAAATGATACCACATTAAAGATAGTGATGCAAAATTTCTTCTTTTCTGCTGGTCTAGATTTGTTCAAACATGGCTTTTATCCCCTTGGTGCAGTACTGCTAAAAAGCAGCTGGCAGTTACTCTTCTACAGTTTAGATGTTTTGTCATTTTCTTGGGCTGCTGATGAGGTGATGTGTTTTCTGTCAGGGGAAATTAACAGGCATATTCCCCTGTTTGACAGAAACAGTGAGTTAGAATGATTTCCTGGGAAGCTTCTGCATGTGGCGTGCAAGATTTCTAATTTTTATTTTGACTGCAGAATCATTTCTTTACTATGCTTAATGATATTATCGCTCTGACAAATTTTGTTATACATACACACAGTGCTAAAATACTCAGAGCTTTTTCTGGCTCAACTGCAAAAAAAATGGTGTTTTTAAATAATCTAAGGAAATAGATAGAAGACTGCATAATAGGGATTTATCAATGCATTTTAGCATGTTCCTTGCAAAAAGTTTAGCAATGTTTTCCGTATCTACCAACAGTTGCTATGAAATGGGAGATATATAAAGAAGCAAACAGTTATTTGCAACTTAGTTGTAATACCTTTGCAATACTAGGATAACAGTGTTTTTATTCCTGCTATAAATTTCTTCTGTTGCTATGGAACAAATCCTTTTACCGATGAAGAAGCTGAGGTACAGAAAAATGTGTTACACAGCAACACAACCCCCCCCAACTTATCTGTTTGGAAGGTAATGTTCATAAAGTGCTAAATCCTTAAATGGAAGGTGCTTTGTATGTAGTAGGGATTATTATTTTAGCAAGCTATGAATATATTAAAATATTCTCATAATATTGTCTCATTTATACTACAGTCTTAAGGCCACTCAGTGCAACTATTCTACTATATTTTCTCACATACAACATGCTCCAGAATAAGATATGCACCTTGTTTTCGAAAGGCAGAATGAAGAAAAAAATGTTCTTTCCTTGTAATAAGTAACTGAGTAGCAGTAGCTAGGGAGCTAAGCTTGCTCAATGTTTTGCTTTTTGTGGATCATAGCAGAGTTTACTTTTGTTTTCATTGGTAAGCAGCAGAACTGCGGTGTTTAGAACATTACTAAAGAAAAAGCCTCACCAAGTACTTTGCAGATTATCATTTGCAAATCTAGTATACCAAAGTAAAATAT